TCCATAAAACTCACATATTATCTTCCCTTCGCCATTCCACAAACAACTCCCTACAAAACCTGCTTCCTAAACACCATCTAGGAGCCTTAGAATAGTATCACCTTTATAGCATTCTCATGGGATCTCCACATCATCCTCAAAAGATCTTTATCGAATTCTCAAAAGATCTTTATTGGATCCTCAAAACATCATCATTTGATCCTCATGGAATCATCACACAATTCTCAAGGGATCTTCAAGAGAGATCGGCAAAATGAAGCACATGACCGAGAAAAGCACAGGCAGGCAAAGCACAATTTGATAGTGTATGATTAAGCAAGTTCAAGTGAGAGAGGATGAATCAAGAAATGAGGGAAGAGGGGAAGAAAAAAACAAAGAATCAACCGACATTGAAGCCAAATCACATAGTTGAAGCATGGGATGGCTTCGGAGCAATGCAAATTTGTAATAGGAGTGGCCAATGAAGAGGACCTCATGAAAGGCAAGCTAAATCACAACAGGAATGAACCAACAAAGTCATTCACGCTAGAGGGAAAGCAATCTTGCAAAAAAAGTAAAAACAACTTAACACAAGTGATTTGACCTAACAATCTAGGTTAATGATTGAGGCTTGAAGCAACACTAGCAAACATTATTGAAGCAGTCCGAAGGGCCAAACAATTGGTTGACAAGGTGAATCATGGTTCACAATGTTGACAAGGCTAATAACTATGAGATCCTGCTAGATCTTAACAGAAAAATATGCGAGCACAAGAAGAAGACAAATGTTTAACAGAGTTGGCCCTATAAACATGTTAAATAATATAAGATAAGAATACAACATATTTCATCATATTTACAAAATAAAAATAGCAACACAATTTACAAAAGAAAGAAGACATGTAGAGATAAAAAGGGACTAAGACCATTTAGATAATTATTTTACGGGAGTTGTAGAACTGATAATGGCATGCCAAACCAGGGCAATAGGATTTATGAGCTATAAAGAGCAGCTTGAGCCAGGGCGAACTGTAGAGCTGGAATGCGGAGGCAATAGGATTTATGAGCTATAAAGAGCAGCTTGAATGATGCAGAATTATCAGGGCCAAGTGAGCACTGCTAGAATTCTACATCCAAGCGGGAACAACAGAATCTAGCTGACACTTTCAGAGCTGCTGGAGAGTCATCATAGTCGGGAGTGATCTCCATTAGGGAATGATATACTCGGATAGCCTGGTCCTCAAGTAAGCACAATAATACCAGTCCTCAAGAAAACGAAATAAAGGCAACATGAATGATATCTTGAATCATGCGGTTAATAAAAGCAAGATTTGAGCAGTTAATATTCGGATTTCCATGACAGGCTCACAAACAGATGAGGATGCTGATGACCTTTCAAAATTGTTTTTTGTTTCAATAAGCATAAATTTTTGTTAATTTTGAACGAAACAAAGCCATAACAAACCTGCAACCTGATGAGCTTCTTAGTTATCAGAAGATAAAGATAAGAGATAAGGCTAAAGCATAGCCTGAACACAATCAGCTCTGAGTTCCTTTTGTACTGCAAATCAAAAATAAGTTACAAATGAAGAAAACTACCAGTTTGATAGAAGCATACTACCAGAATATTATTTTGAATACTTCGAAAAAAAGAAAATATACCTCAACCGAATCTGATACTCGACCAAAACTAGCAGAGCCAATATCAAGGTTAAAAACAAAAATCATCATGCTAAAAAGCCCTTGGAGAAAACCATACTCATCATTCTCTTCATAAGGCCAAATCTTCATTTAAAAAAAAATTGCAAAAGGTTAGTCATACGTTTGGTGCCAAATAATGTAACATATTGTTGTAAAACAAAAATTGAAGGCAACCAGACAATTAAGTTGCATACCCTGCTAAGTATTGAGACAACAAGATTAATCCGTTCCAAGGTACCCTCTTCAGCTGAGGAGATGTCTTCTCTTAGAATCTGATCAAAAACTGACCGTTGAGATTTGACAAAATCTATGACTTCCCGTACAACTTTATTCTTAACCTACAGCAACAAAGCATTAGTATTTTAAACAACAATACAGATTTTAATATCATAAAAAAAATTTTCTTAATTTGAAGTACAGGAATGAGCAACAGAATGAACTGCAGTAAAAAGCATAAAATGCTGCTGCCATCCTTTTCTTACAAATGATTTGTACAAAGCATAAAAAGAAGTTGGATAAAAAAATTTGGTCAGCATGAATATTCAAATAGAGTAAAAGAAAAAAGGTAAGAAAATGATGACTAAAAAAATTGGCACGAAATTCAGGCTAAACAAAGTCAACACCACAATAAACAGATCAAAGAAGATTTTTTTCACTGTTCTTGAAAAAAAAGAGCAGGAACCTTTTATTTAACTTATTTTCATTTCATAAAATCTTACCAAG